TATGCTCCCTCCCGATTGTAAACAACCGCGCCCTCCGCGCCGCGCCGCCAGCCCGTTCCGCGCACACACACACCTGAGAATTTCACTTCAGCACTGTGCCTCCTCTGAGTCTGGATATAATATTCTCTTTACTCCTAGTTGTAGAATTTCCACTCAGCCAGCCCTCCTGTGGTTCTGGATGTTGTCCGTTCCCTGTTTCAAGCTTAATTTGAATTGGTTGTTCAAGGCAGCAATCTCCGGCGTTAACCTATGCCGCCATCTTCGGTTCTCCTATCTTCTGTCTCTTCTCATTTTATTTTTATTAATCCTCCCAGAGGTGAAACTTTTTTAAAAAATATATTTTATTGATTTTTTTACAGAGAGGAAGGGAGAGGGATAGAGAGTTAGAAACATCGATCAGCTGCCTCCTGCACACCTCCTACTGGGGATGTGCCCGCAACCCAGGTACATGCTCTTCACTGGAATCGAACATGGGACCTTTCAGTCTGTAGGCTGATGCTCTATCCACTGTGCCAAACTGGTTAGGGCTGGGGAACCTTTTTTCTGCTAAGGGCCATTTGGATATTTATAACATCATTTGAAGGCCATACAAAGTTACCAACTTAAAACTGAGCCTGCTGTATTAGGTCAAATGTTTAATTAACTCAGCCCAATGCCTTGGCAAGACCAGACCAAATGATCTTGTCGGCCGTACATGGCCCATGAGCCGGATGTTCCCCACCCCTGATCGAGGCAAAAGCCTCCCAACCAAACCCAAGCAGAATAAATACAAAGTAAGCCACACTTCAGAGTCAAACTCCTCAAAGCCAGAGTTAAAGGGAAAATCTTGAAAGCAGTGACACAGACAACATGCAATGGAGTAATTTTAATTGCAGGTGGACTTTTCATCAGAAGACAATGGAACATTGGGCCAGAAGACAATGGAACAGCTTTCTTTTTAAAGCATTAAAAGAAAATAAATCACCCACACAGAATTCTGTAACCAGCAAAAAATATCCTTCAAATATGGAAATAAAATAAAGTTTCAGGTAAATAAAACTAAGAGAATCTGTGGCCAGCAGATCTCTATTACAAGAAATGCTAAAGGCAATTCTACAGGCTGAAGGGAAATGACACTTGATGGAAACTCAGATCCTTAGAAAGGAAGGGAGAGGATCAGAAATGATAAATATTTATTAAATTAAAAGACTTTCCTACTCTTAATTCCTTTAAATTATATATGACATTTTAAAGCAAATACATAGATTTACATCATACATATAAAGATAGCATAAAATACAATGGGTATTAAATGGACTTTTTCATTGACGTGGTTTCTACATTTTATATCAACTGGCCCAATAGTCTAAGTAATTGGCAAAATTTTAAGTGGGTATATTATAATCACTAAAAATAATATATAGCTAAACACCAATGGGTGGTATTCTAAACTATGTAAATAAATGAAAAAATGCATGAAAAGGGGAATAAAGAAATAAAAACAGAGGGGACAAACAGAAATCAAATTATAAAATTATAGACACAGAATCAACCATATCAATAATGACATCCAATGTTAATGGACTAAAAACTCCTACAAAAAGGCAGAGATTATTGGAATAGATTTTAAAAAATCAGTACCCCACTGCAGTACCAGCTTTCTCTACATTAACCTTGATGCCCATGAATAGGCTGGCTCACATTTAAGAGCATTTTTGGGGACAGGAAGTGGGGACGGTACACTGTCAGTACACCTGAGCAGCAGCTTTCCCCACGGAAAATGCCATCTCCAAAGTAACCGCTGAGCCAGTGATGGGCTTCCTTAGCCCAACTCTGAGAACCCACTTCTCCCCTTGCCCCCTTGAAGGGCATCGCATCTGGCTTCACAGGGTAACAACCAAGCTGCACTCGCTGCAGAGTCCTGTATGAAGGAGACCGGGTCCTGTGTTCACTTAGGTCAGCATGTGCTTTCCACTGCGGATGCAGGAGGGACCCAGAGGGGCCACCCAGGGGGTTCCTTGCCATCAGCGAAGAGATGGTTTGTGTTTTCTCCACTCGGTGAACAGAGAAGTTCACTCAAGCCATGGACTTCCAGGCTTGTCCAGGGCAGATGTGTTGACCCATATATTTTCTAGGTCCCAAGTTGCACTGAAAATACTGAGGAAACGCCAGAAGGTTCAAAGCCCAGTTTGTGTTATGTTCACCCTGACAAAGCTCAGCTGTCGGTAAGACCAGGGCTGTAGTGATGCCTCACCCATTTCAAGTTAAATCAGCTCCACATATTTGATTGAAACCAATGATACTAGTGCCTTTGTCCAGAATCCTAGACACAGATTTGCCCCACATTTACATAAATTGTTTACCCTGCTAGCTGAATAAATAACATTAAAAGCAATACCCAGCAATATGCTGTATACGAGAGACCCACTTTCAATATATAGCAGGGTCAGCAAAATTTCTTCTATACATATTTTAGGTTTGGCAGGCTATCTACAATTTGTTGCATTTTTTAAAGCAACAAATGTGAAACACATTGCTGGCTCAAGGGCCTTATGAAATGAGGCCGAGGCTGGATGTGGCCAGTGGCTGCAGTGTGACAGCCCCTTAGACAAAGGGCCTGGCAGTGTTTGTGAGTGGCAAGTAAGCACATGACAGGATGCACATACAGATGATCAACACAGTTAGTCGTTAGGAAACGACACATTAAAAGCACAATGCAACATGACACATCTGCAGGAAGGGTTGAAGTCCTTGTGTGTCGTGTTGGTGACTGACAACCCAAATGTTGGCAAGCATATGGATTAACCTTCAGAGGTTGTTGGTGAGGATATAATGGTCCAACTGTTTTGGAAAACACGTGTTTGGTTTCTTATAAAACTAAACATATCCCTACCCTTTCTGAACCAGCATCCCTAGGTATTTACCCAAGAGAAATGAAGACACTTATTCACAAAAATATTCTTAGCAGTTCTACTCATAGTAGCCCAAAACTGTAAACTCTAGTAACCAGCAATAAGAAAATGGATGAACTGATTGGTTTATATATACAATGGCCTATCAATCTATAATAATAAAAGTGTAATATGCTAATTAGACTGGACGTCCTTCCAGATGAAGCTGGGGCTACGAGGGAAGCCCGGGTCCCAGGTGCCAGAGGGAAGCCAGTGCCGGTAGCCAGGGGAAGGGAGGCCTACTCTTGCATGAATTTTGTGCATCGGGCCTCTAATCAACAATAAAAAGGAATGAGCTAACATACAATAGCATGGATGAAACTCAAAAGCAATGCACTAGCAGAAAGAACTCTTATATAAAAGTGTATGTACTGTATGACTCCATTAAAATTAAGCTCTAGGGTAAGCTAAAACCAAGAAATCAGAGCCTTGTTTGCTTGGGAGCAATGGGACAGGGTGGACTGAAAAGGCCATCAGAATTCTAGGACTGAGGTAATGTTCTGTACGTTGATAGCAGTTTGGGTTACATAGGTACATACATTTGTCAAAACTCATCCAATGCTGTCTGGAGATCTGTGCCTTTTCCTCTGCAAATCTAGCTAAGAACAAAAAGAACCATAAACCAGCATGGAACTCTAGGTAACAATATGCAGACTGGAGTGGTTGCAGTAAAGTGTACTTATAGCTGCAATCTACTCTGAAATGCAAGAAAAAAATAAGTTGATGGGTGAGTAAAGTGGTGCATAGATGGGCTATATGGTCAAGCATATGTAATGTTAACTGCAGAACCTAGGGCATGTGCATGCTCACTGTACAATTATTTAAACTTTTATATTTCAAACTAGAGGCCCGATGCATGAAATTTGTGCATGAGTAGGATCCCTAGGCCTGGCTGGAGATCAGGGCTGATTGGGGCCTTCTGGCTGCCAGCTGGGGCCTTCCTTTGTTCTGGGCCACCCCCTGGTGGTCAGTGCATGTCATAGTGAGCGATCAAATTCCCAAATTCCCAAGGGGACACTTTGTATATTAGCCTTTTAGATTACTCATAATAAAATGTTGGAAAAAACTCACAAATTGTACTTCTTTGCCACTTATATAAAAGTCACTCATGATTCAATGTAAAATACAAATGAAAATCCAAGCGAAATGGTCAAAGCATGGAAATTGACATCAGCAGAAATGAGCAGCATACAAAAGATGCTCAAAATCATTTATCTGGGAAATGCAAAGCAAAACATCAGTGAGATATGAGGGAATTATTTCTGTAACAATTTTAAAAATACCCACATATTGCCATGCCAGGGAAGAAACTCATAGTTTCACAGTGGGAAGATAAGGGAATAATTTTGGGGATCAGTTTTACACCTTAAAATGCCTCCATCCCATTTTTCTACATCTAGGAATTTATCTTCACAATGACCCACACACACCCAAGTATACAAAGTTAATTTCAAGGGTGTGACTTTCTGCCTTGTTTCTTAAGCAACCTAAAATCTATAGCAATGAGGATTTAGTTGACTAATTTAGTGAACTTAATTCTGCATTAGTTAAAAAGAATAAGGTAAATACAGATGTTCTGACAGAAAAGTATTAATCCCTTCCCCGGCAGAAACGTGTATACTCGTTTTCACAAAATGTTCTTTTTCAGTCGTCGATGAGTATACTAAGAAAATATGGTAAAAAAAAATATGGTTTATAGGAAGACGAGTTACAAACTGTTTTCATAACCAGCATCAAAAATACTATATAAAACCAAAATAAAAAAATTAGTCTGAAAAAGAAACGTTTTTAACAAAAAAATTGTTGGGGAAGGGGTTAAAGTGAAAAAAGCAACCCACAAAGTTATATGTCATATTATCGCAATAGGCACATGCATCCTATATAATAAAAGCCTAATATGCAAATAAACCGAATGGAAGAGCAACTGGCAGAATGACTGGTTGCTATGACGTGCACTGACCACCGGGAGGCAGACGCTCAACGCAGGAGCTGCCTCCAGCCCGCAGGCCTCAGGCCAGCCAAGGCAGGTGCCAGTGGGGGCCCCTGATCGCCCTACTGGTGGACCCACAGATTGGCCCTGATCACCAGCCAGGCCTAGGGATCCTTCCCATGCATGAATTTCATGCACCGGGCCTCTAGTTTTATATAAATTTCAGATTATTAAAAACAGGTGACGCCTCCACTGCCCATGTCTCAGGCCCTGCTAGTCCCTGTCTGCAGCCCACCTCCCAGCATGCCCTCCTGAGGGCCTTTCTCCCTGGGGAAGGGGCTAGGTTTGATCTTCTTCTGTTTCATTGTGTTGACATATGCCTCCCCCTCCTCTCTTAAAGGCCAGTCATCCTGTCATCTGTCAGCCCTATTTCCATCCCAGGGTTCATCCTCCTCCTGCCAGCCGATGCTACCAAACAAGGGCCCATGGGCTTGCCGCTGGTGGCTCAGAGAGCCGAGGCCCGTGGCACCAGGCTGTCCCTGAGAAGAGGATTCATTTGTCAGGCAGCCAGCATGCAGACCAGAGCCAAGCTCAACCGGTCTGCTCCCTGCTGAGGCCGGCTGAGTTTTTAGGGTTAGGGGACAGCGGGCATATGAAGGTGCCGGCAGGCAGGTTGGCAGCTTTGGAACTAGGTCGGTTATGGGAAGGTACGGTAGGGCTCCTGCATGGGGCCTCCTGTGCCAGGGCACCTTGCATGGAGCCTGGCGCTTGAGCTCTCGTCGTGCCCGGCCCTCTGGCTCCGTGGGAAGGGGCACCTGGCTCCGGGTCTTCCTGAGCAGGAGGGCACATGTGTGGTACTATCTCTACAATAACTCAAAAGCTGCATTAATTTCCAACCTGCCACCAGCGTGCTGTTTCATGGACACCACATAGTGCGGAGCAGTGGGCGCACCTGGGCAGTGTGCCCGCTGACCCCCCCTGCACCAGCTGCTGGACTTCCAGCCTCAGGAAGGAGCAGGAGCGGATCCTTTGAAAAGGGCAATGCGAAGACTTACCAGCACTGCCTTTATGGCTAAAGCTCCCCGAGGGGCCCAGCGGGATGGTCAGCCTATCCAGAGATGAGAACACCGCTGCTCAGCAAAAGCCCAGGGCAGGTGCTGTGGCCCCCCCCCCTCCATCCCACATACATACCTCCCCCACCTCCCCCGAGCCTC